AGGGGGCAGTGGGGACATCGAAGGGACATCAGGGGGAGATGGGGGGCAACGTAAGGACGTGAGGGGGACACAGGATGATGTGGGGGCTGCAGGGGCATCATAAGGACGTTATGGGGGCACTGGGGTGATATTGGGGTGTGTGGGGACATCATGAGGGCATTATGGGGACATGGGGGTGACATAGGGACAGCAGGGGCAGCATAAGGGTATTATAGGGACACTGAGGTGATGTGGGGACAGCAGGGACATCATAAGGGCGTTATGGGGACATTGGGGTGATATTGGGGTGTGTGGGGACATCATGAGGGCATTATGGGGACATGGTGACATAGGGGCAGCAGGGGCGTCGTAAGGGCATTATGGGGACACGGGGTGATATTGGGGTGTATGGGGACATCATAAGGACATCATGGGGACACTGCGGTGACACTGGGACAGCAAGGGCAGCATAAGGGCATTATGGGGGCATTGGGGTGATGTTGGGGTGCATGGGGACATCATGAGGACATTATGGGGACACAGGGTGATGTGGGGACAGCAGGGACATCATGAGGACGTTATGGGGGCATTGGGGTGATGTTGGGGTGCATGGGGACATCATAAGGACATTATGGGGACACGGGGGTGATGCTGGGATATCAGGGGGTGCAGTGGGGGGCATGGGGACAGTGGGGACATGGAGGGATTTGGGGACATGGGGACACGGAGGGAATCTTAAGGGCAGAGGAAGGACAGGGGGACATTGAAGGACGCGGTGACACTGGGGGCACAGATGACTCTGGGACTCTTGGGGTCACGCTGCCCTCCTCCACCACGCTGTCCCCATGTCCCCATACACACATGCCAGTGGCTTCCCAATGGTCCCCATGGTGTCCCCATGGTGTCCCCATGTCCCCCTGATGTCCCATTGTCTGCATCCCCTCATGCCAATGGCTTCCCAATGGTGTCCCCATGATGTCCCCATGTCCTCCTGGTGTCCCACTGCCCCCCTCCCCAGTTCCAATGGCTTCCCAATGGCGTCCCCATGATGTCCCCATGTCCCCCATGATGTCCCATTGTCCCCATCCCCACATCCTAACAGCTTCCC